TACCCACAGGTACAGATGATGACTGACAGAACCCTTTCTACGATGGAACTTTCCTGTACGACTGAGAGCCTCCACAAGCAACCGTAGTCTTAGAGCAACACAAATTGCAACCATAATGACTCGTGCATTGTTAAATTAATACATCTCAGACATTACCATTTTCAGTTCCAATTGACAAATGTATTTTTTCAACGAAAGTTTTTTTTCTGTGATTGGGTAGGTGTTCTTTCAAGGTAAGGCCAAACAAAAAAGATAGTGTTTCCGGTAACAAGAAATTTCAGCATAGGGTCAGTAGGTCGGACAAAGTTTTGTTTTTCCCCATCAAAAATTTAAACAAAATAACCATAAAACATAAAACAAGAAGACATTGAACCCGCCGCTCCGCGGCCGCCGCCGCCTATTTAGTTTTATCCCCGCTCCGGACTCTGGGGCCGGGGCGCGCCGCCGCCTCCTCCGTCCTCCTCCTCCGCCCTCGGTTTTTACTCGGCCCGTGGTGTTCATCAAATAGTTCGCTATATATTTTCGATACATCAATGCATGCTATTTTCTTAACATTACGGTGCGAGCACGCGACTGTAACACAGAAAACGCGGTTTAAACTGTCGTCGGAAATCGCGGCCGCCGCCATGTTTCAATGTTGTTGACAGACGACAGGGCAAACGACGCACGCACTCAACGTGAATATCGCGAGAGTTTGCACCGATGTAAACCCTCTGCACAAAAATGTAGAGGGTTGTTTGAAAAAAATGCTGACCGTAAAGTTTTTTTTCGACGTAGAAATTCTCGGTCGGTCGGGTTACCGGAAACACCCTACTTTTTTTTTCTACGCCTAAGCCCACTTATTTGATTTATTTATTTTTTATTTTTAGATGACTCAACCTACTTTTCCAACTGATGCACCAGTTTGTCAGAAATGTAATGCTAAAGCAGTTTTGGCAAGCTCAATTTCTGACAGAACTCTGCTTTTAGTTGTGATTAGTATCCTTGTAACTAATAGTCTGTTGAGCTCTCTGTGTCAACAGCAGTGTATTCACATTGGGGAAATGTAGTGATTCCAAGATGATTAATCATCCTGTTTACGCATGTGGTTACTTGTCTCTGATGTGAATATTCATGTTTCATGACAGGACACCAAAAAATTCCGCCTACAGGCTGTGAATGTCACCGCAAGCCTCAGTTCTGGTAATACGAGTAGTTTTGTTTTCCCCAAACGCATTGAACACATTCTCCAAGCAGGAGGAGGCTAATGATGGCTTGTGTGTTTGTCTCAAGGTGTGGTCTTCTCTGAGGCGAACAGCAGTTTGACTCTGTGGGAGGCGGCGGTGGGCAGCTCGTACATGTGCAACAAGGAGCAGAACTACACCATCACCAGCCAGCTCAACCTTTTCACCTTCAACCTTCAAGTGCAGCCGTTTGCTGTAAAGAAAGGCGTCTTCAGTACAGGTAGCCTCCTTCACCTAATAGTCGTTTAGCAGCATTGACAGACACATTATTGTTCAGTCTGGAGGAATACAGGAATTCACATCCATTCTCCTCCAGCAGTGCAGCATAAATGCCTTTTTGTGGAACATGCAATACCTCAAAACAATATCATTGGTACATTAACATTCATTCGTTGTTCATGCGATGTGAGGCCATGCATTACTGTAGACCATCATCCTATAGCCTCCGCCTGCGGCATACAGAATGCTGGCTCGGATTTGCTTTCCCCCCCAATCAAACATTTTAGCAAACATATTTTCTATTGCTGTTGAACAAGTGTCTATCCCTACACATATTGACATTGAATTATCGCCCAGCCCTCGTGGGTCATACATAATGAATGAATGAGCAAATTGAGTTACATGCTTGGTCACGCAATGAAATGAACTTCATGAGTTCTGTAGCATATAATTCGATGGTCATTTAGAATTCATACTCATAATATTTGGTATACAATCACTGACACTTCACTAGTCACACCTTCACGAAATAAGAGCTGTGTCAACAATTCTGCAAAGCAATAATGCTCTGTTTTGTTTGGCATGGTCAAGCAAAACCACAGAATTATAGTATAGTCGAGTTTTGCAGTTATGCTGGATGTACACTGCATGTCCAAAAGCGCAATTCCTGTTTATGCTGCTATTTGAGCTTCTTGACTATTTCTACGTTTCAAGTGAAAATATGCACTCTAGATATGTTTACATTCATGGAAGACCTTTAAGTGCATACACCCAAACTTCAATCACTTCACAAGCTTCAACGCCAAAAATTAAAATACAAATATTAAATGGTTCATAATATTTTTGTTGGCCTGGGCTGACATCCTCCATTTATTTATTACCGTAACAAAAAAAAAAGGTTCTCTCCATACAATTGTGTTGTTCAGGTAGTTGTGTGTCCTTTTAGCAATTCAGTCAACTAGTTGACTCGATGTTAGCACCGCGCAATGACGATTATAGTTTGAAGGAGCGTAATTGGCTATCATGTTTTGGCTTTAACAACAGATCTTGCCGAAAGCAACACGTGGCTTTGGTTGGCACCGCAAACTAGCAGCAGTGCCTCATGCGTGTGGAAATACTCTATTAAAAAGAAAACTAGTTGCACGGACACTAATAAAATGTGCAAGTCTATCCTCAAACATAACAAAGTGCAATACGACTGGCCATCTGAGAAGGCATCAGCTAGCACAAGATCATAAACAACCTAAACTGAACAAAGACAAACACTAGTTAATTTGTTGTGAAAATGAATGCTTCATGTTGCTAACAGCCAGTGTTTTACCTCAAGCCTTCATCCGGCAGGCACACGGTCGCACCCTTGACTCTCCTATCCAATCAAAAATCCCACTTCACCATCGTTGTCTCACAGTCATTCGGGTTTTCTAAAACTCTTGCAACAATCCACATAACACAACTGAAAGTTTGACTCAATACATTATTATTGTAAAGCTGTAATTTAGTAAAATTATAGGTCAATAACTGTACACAGTAGAGTAGTGACTTTGCAGTTTTAAGTGCACTGCTGTTAGTTTGACAAGTTCTGACTATCTGCAAGGCCATAAAGGTATCCGAATGTGATTGGATGAGCAAGTTAAGGCATAGGGCCGGTGCACCTTACGGCAGTGAAATGAGTGAATGAGCGATTTTGTATTGGGAGCCAAAGGTGTGCACAGCAAATTCATGGTTGAAAAAAAACTCGGACATAATTACTGAACTAATGTAGACTCAACAGTCATCACCTTAACGTTGACTACAAAGAAAAAAATAATCTAAGTGATTAAGCCCTTAGCACCTGTATTCAATTGAATTTGGAGCTATTCAATGTATATTTTTTTAATCAATTTTCAAAGGGGCTTGATTCCAATCTGTCAAATTATTTTTTTTTCTCACCCCCTTATGCTGCCATGACACACATCCCAATCATGCCATTTGAGAGGAAAAATTGGAATTGTTGCTTGACCCTTGCAGTGTAGTTGCAGCCTTCAAGTGTTGCTCTGTTACCCAGTGGCAATTTGGTTCACTTTCATTAACCCTACAAGCAGATGACTGCCTTTAAAAAAAGGCTAGAAATATCACCTGGCTGGTACTTCTTGGGAAAACATTGATGACAAGTTGAGAACATAGTGAAGTGAGTACACACAGGGCAGAAATCTGTGTTTGACTGACTCTCTTTTCGTCTGCAGCCCATGAGTGTCCGTTGGACGACACCAGCATCTTAATCCCAATCATTGTCGGCGCTGCCCTGGCTGGCTTGATTCTCATTGTTGTGATCGCATACGTGATTGGTCGAAGAAAGACCTATGTTGGATATCAGACCCTCTGAGAAGCCACTTTACAAATCAGTCACAACATATGACAGGGGTCCCCCAAGCCTGGTCCTTGGATTTATGTGCAATGAACTCGATTGGCTCCCGACAACTCAAATCCTTTCCATTGAAATCAGAAAGTTGTTTTGTGTGTTAAATAGGCACACAGAGCATTTCTGAGAGTTTGCAGAGACAATAATGTGGTAGTGTTCCCTTCAAGGACCAAACTTGTCTGCTCCCTGTGTTTGTGTTCCTTTGTTTTTCATTTGTTTTTGTTTTTGTGAATGAGCAAATGCAACATCCACGTGTTGGCCCCAATCACATGTCAACATAATGTCAGACTGCAGACATATAAAAGTATCTTAATAATTTGAATGTTGTAAAAAAAAGTTCATTATTTCAGGAGTTGAAAAAGTGAACATAATTATTCAACACAAAATAATTTTGAGTGCCAATTTCTATCTCAAAAATCATTCAAATCAGTCAATTTTGGGATACCTTCTGAAAAAGTTTTCCACGATATTCAATTTTATTGAGACGCACCTGTACCACACGATATCACACCGCTGGGGGACTTTCTTCAACTACACTCTGGCAATTTTGCATTTGCTCTGCCGACACTCCATGTTGTTTGCCTGATGATTTCATCCCTTGCACATTATATTCATTTACTTTGATTTAGTTTGATTTATATTTTTCCATCATCTCAATAATCCAGGAATGGGGAACCAATGTCATGTGGTCTGTTTTTGGCCTGCCATCCAAGTCTACAAATGAACCCTCAGAGGAACTGTTTGAAAAAGCTCCAAAACGTTTCACCCACAGATGTTCAAAATGTAGTTACTTTCTAAAATTTTGGAAGAAAACGTTCCCCACCCCTGCAATGATTGAATTTATTGATGCTGAATAATTTCTCAGGATTCAGATGCAAATCTTTCACCAAAGCGCAGAAAATGAAAGTTGTTAAGCTAAATCATTCACTAAGGGGTGAAAGGTGTGCACCACTCGGGACGCATATCGAAGCAGCTTTAGCCAGTGTTTGCCCCTGCAGAGCGGGAGAAACGCCCGATTCCACAATTGTGAAAGACCTTTTTGTCCCCACCCACACCCTCAGAAGACGTTATGACGTGTCAAGTAAAACCAACACCATCACTTTTCGGTCCCGCATGGAGACATGTCATAGCGTTTTCTGTTCAAAAGGGTCTGTAACACTTTGCACAAGTCAGAAAAATCAATCCGAAGAGTCTTTTCTTCCGTAATAGTTTGAGACACTAGGTTCTGAAAAGGGATGGTATTGTTTCATTTGAGGATTTTTTTTTCATGTAAATGCACTAAAATGCTCTTTAACTTTTTTTCTTGGGGGGGGGGGGTGGCATATGTATTTGTGAGAAGGCATCAGCTAGCACAAGATCATAAACAACCTAAACTGAACAAAGACAAACACTAGTTAATTTGTTGTGAAAATGAATGCTTCATGTTGCTAACAGCCAGTGTTTTACCTCAAGCCTTCATCCGGCAGGCACACGGTCGCACCCTTGACTCTCCTATCCAATCAAAAATCCCACTTCACCATCGTTGTCTCACAGTCATTCGGGTTTTCTAAAACTCTTGCAACAATCCACATAACACAACTGAAAGTTTGACTCAATACATTATTATTGTAAAGCTGTAATTTAGTAAAATTATAGGTCAATAACTGTACACAGTAGAGTAGTGACTTTGCAGTTTTAAGTGCACTGCTGTTAGTTTGACAAGTTCTGACTATCTGCAAGGCCATAAAGGTATCCGAATGTGATTGGATGAGCAAGTTAAGGCATAGGGCCGGTGCACCTTACGGCAGTGAAATGAGTGAATGAGCGATTTTGTATTGGGAGCCAAAGGTGTGCACAGCAAATTCATGGTTGAAAAAAAACTCGGACATAATTACTGAACTAATGTAGACTCAACAGTCATCACCTTAACGTTGACTACAAAGAAAAAAATAATCTAAGTGATTAAGCCCTTAGCACCTGTATTCAATTGAATTTGGAGCTATTCAATGTATATTTTTTTAATCAATTTTCAAAGGGGCTTGATTCCAATCTGTCAAATTATTTTTTTTTCTCACCCCCTTATGCTGCCATGACACACATCCCAATCATGCCATTTGAGAGGAAAAATTGGAATTGTTGCTTGACCCTTGCAGTGTAGTTGCAGCCTTCAAGTGTTGCTCTGTTACCCAGTGGCAATTTGGTTCACTTTCATTAACCCTACAAGCAGATGACTGCCTTTAAAAAAAGGCTAGAAATATCACCTGGCTGGTACTTCTTGGGAAAACATTGATGACAAGTTGAGAACATAGTGAAGTGAGTACACACAGGGCAGAAATCTGTGTTTGACTGACTCTCTTTTCGTCTGCAGCCCATGAGTGTCCGTTGGACGACACCAGCATCTTAATCCCAATCATTGTCGGCGCTGCCCTGGCTGGCTTGATTCTCATTGTTGTGATCGCATACGTGATTGGTCGAAGAAAGACCTATGTTGGATATCAGACCCTCTGAGAAGCCACTTTACAAATCAGTCACAACATATGACAGGGGTCCCCCAAGCCTGGTCCTTGGATTTATGTGCAATGAACTCGATTGGCTCCCGACAACTCAAATCCTTTCCATTGAAATCAGAAAGTTGTTTTGTGTGTTAAATAGGCACACAGAGCATTTCTGAGAGTTTGCAGAGACAATAATGTGGTAGTGTTCCCTTCAAGGACCAAACTTGTCTGCTCCCTGTGTTTGTGTTCCTTTGTTTTTCATTTGTTTTTGTTTTTGTGAATGAGCAAATGCAACATCCACGTGTTGGCCCCAATCACATGTCAACATAATGTCAGACTGCAGACATATAAAAGTATCTTAATAATTTGAATGTTGTAAAAAAAAGTTCATTATTTCAGGAGTTGAAAAAGTGAACATAATTATTCAACACAAAATAATTTTGAGTGCCAATTTCTATCTCAAAAATCATTCAAATCAGTCAATTTTGGGATACCTTCTGAAAAAGTTTTCCACGATATTCAATTTTATTGAGACGCACCTGTACCACACGATATCACACCGCTGGGGGACTTTCTTCAACTACACTCTGGCAATTTTGCATTTGCTCTGCCGACACTCCATGTTGTTTGCCTGATGATTTCATCCCTTGCACATTATATTCATTTACTTTGATTTAGTTTGATTTATATTTTTCCATCATCTCAATAATCCAGGAATGGGGAACCAATGTCATGTGGTCTGTTTTTGGCCTGCCATCCAAGTCTACAAATGAACCCTCAGAGGAACTGTTTGAAAAAGCTCCAAAACGTTTCACCCACAGATGTTCAAAATGTAGTTACTTTCTAAAATTTTGGAAGAAAACGTTCCCCACCCCTGCAATGATTGAATTTATTGATGCTGAATAATTTCTCAGGATTCAGATGCAAATCTTTCACCAAAGCGCAGAAAATGAAAGTTGTTAAGCTAAATCATTCACTAAGGGGTGAAAGGTGTGCACCACTCGGGACGCATATCGAAGCAGCTTTAGCCAGTGTTTGCCCCTGCAGAGCGGGAGAAACGCCCGATTCCACAATTGTGAAAGACCTTTTTGTCCCCACCCACACCCTCAGAAGACGTTATGACGTGTCAAGTAAAACCAACACCATCACTTTTCGGTCCCGCATGGAGACATGTCATAGCGTTTTCTGTTCAAAAGGGTCTGTAACACTTTGCACAAGTCAGAAAAATCAATCCGAAGAGTCTTTTCTTCCGTAATAGTTTGAGACACTAGGTTCTGAAAAGGGATGGTATTGTTTCATTTGAGGATTTTTTTTTCATGTAAATGCACTAAAATGCTCTTTAACTTTTTTTCTTGGGGGGGGGGGGTGGCATATGTATTTGGAAATTGTGTCACATGATAATTGTGTTGTGATCCAGGCTCTGAAGGCTGCAGGTGCTCCTCAATTAAAATGTGTAACATGGTCATGTTGGTGGTCACTGACAAATCCTAATTGAAGATACAGATGCGCAAGAAGTTCGCTAAGTTATGTGGGCAGCATTCTGATTGGCTAATTCTTCTTGACTTGTTCACACTTGCTGTTACTGCACATCTGTTCTTGCCTCACTTCCTGGATGACTTCAGATTTGCAGGTGAAGCTTTCAACTGGCTCTCCTTGCAGAGTTCCACCATTTTGGTGTGGAAAGCGCTCAGCACCACCCCCTCCTTGACTTCCTGTTCGAAGGTCGTTTTCCTCAACATGCACTGCAGCCATGTCAGAGCCTTAGCTTAACGTTTGTGCGTGTGTGTGTGTTTCCACCCCCCATTTCCTTGTCTTATTGCGACAATATCAATCCAGTGTGACACTTGTGTATACAAAGGAGTATTTGGGCCGTGCTGAAAAGAAAGTCCAAAACTTAGAAGTCAAAAAGCCTTTATTTTATGAGAAGGAAGTTAAATATTACGGTGGTAAATTATATACATTTTATAAGGTGTTAAATATTTTTGGGCATGTCACATTATCTTAAAAATGATCATTTTCTCTAACTTTACAGTTAATTATTGTCCTATATTCAATTTATTATTTCGGTTTAATTTGTTGTTGGCATATTAAAACTACTCAGACATCAATATTTCCAATTACATTTTTTTGCCATATTAAGACAATTTTCTTGCAAAATTGCACCATTTTTTTTTACATTACAACTTTCATAAATCACATTTTTCTCAAATGTGTTACAGCTTTATTCTCGTAAATTACTGTCACCTTGCAGTGTTTTAACCGTACATTTTTGTCATATTGCAACTTTAGTCTCAAAAACTGACATAATTTCACGTATTATTTCAAGTATTAGGATTTGATTCTCAAATTACTTTTTTTTTGTCCTGTATGACTACCGGTAATGTAAAATGTCAGATTTTTTTCTCTTCCATGCACCGATGTATCACATAAAATAATTTTTTTCTTTGTATTACAAATTTATACTCATGTCATTAATTCTCCCATCATATTACAAATAACCCACCCACCCCCAATAATTCTGAGACAATATTCTCATTGGATTTTCATCTTTTCAGTGTGCCCCGACTACACCTTTGTATGTTTCAACTGGGCCAGCAAGTCTGATGATTATTTGTTGTTTGTTTTTTTGTTTTTTTTCCTCCCCATTTTAAAATGTGCTCCTTCACGTTGCTTCCCCCAGGACCTTGTGTGAGTGTTTGAACAATTGGAGCCTTGTTACTCTCCAGCTTTTTGCCACATCAACCAATAGAGAATAGTGCCTTGCTCAGTACAAGTATTAACTTCCATGAGGTTTATTATTTCTCTCCCCCCACACCCCACCCCCAGCATCTCCTCCTATGTTCAACAAAAGGGATTCTATGTGTGTAACCTTCTTGCTTTGTTTTGCTCTCACAAACTGGATTATAAAGTGTTTCAAACATGTTGGTTTTAGTAATCTGGAGGTTTATGAAAATAAAAGTGTGCTGCTGTCCTGGCTCTTCTGAGTAAATGTTTTATTTGTTAGACTGTAGAGCCTACTACCTTAGTACTAACCCGTTCTTCACCCCACCTTATTCCATGAAGATGTTGACCTTTTCTCTCTTCACTTTCATCTAGCTGAGGAATGCCAGACGGACTCGGAGAGCTTCCTTGTTCCCGTAGCTGTCGGCGTTGCCCTGCTTGTTCTCATTCTTATCGTTCTGCTGGCCTACTTCATCGGGAGAAAGAGAAACATGGCCAGCGGTTACGAGTCTTTCTAGAGTTGTCCTGTTTTTGGATGGGTGGTGTTTGTAATCAAGAGAATCACCTGTGTTCCTCTCTCTCCACCTGCATTAGCATTATTGTTTGATGTTAGCTTTTACTCTTCATACACGCTTTTCTTTCCTGCTTCTTCATGGACCATTTGAAATTTGGGGATTCATACCACTCGTGGGAAACTAAAAACTAATGTAGCACCTTGGCATTTAATGATTTTATGTAATTGAAGGAAGTATTTATGGGCCCCTTGACTCGATTAAGTTCTCCATTGGGTTGCTCCTAAAATTTTAAAATATAATTTTAAGTCTCAGTTCAGTTGAGATTGTGACTGACAACCAGAATCTCTACAGTATTCTCATCGTGTTGAAACAAAAACATGAAAACAGCTTGGATTAGTATGTTAGTATAATTGTTCATTCAAAGCATTAAGAACCGCTATATATTTGTGCCACTTGGTTGCAATATTTACTCTTCTGACGGTTAGTGTAGTTTTCATTGTTTTGACATGTAGCTTAGCCTAATGGGCAATTGTAGTGAAACTAATGCTCTATTCACATGAAGAGATGGAGAAGCATTGTCTCATATCCCCAAAATATTTCAACCTCCTCCCAACTTGCTATTCAGTTCATATGAGATGATCAAAAGATGAGGCCCCCATGTTTACTTCCGTAAACACTGCACCAAGTGGCGCAGTGTTTTTGTTTTCTTTTTTTGTTGTTGTTTTTTGTTTTTTGGGTGCATGCGTGTTAAATTATGGCCACGTATTCACAGTCACATTTATTTTTATAATGTGAACATGGACACAAAAAATCCAATTCAACAAAAAAATTAAAACTGGGCGTAACTGCTGTGTAACCGTAGCCTAAATCGCAGACATCCACTCAAATATCCTAACGTATAGTATGTAAAATATACATAACCTCCTGTTAGCACATTAGCTCAACCATCTGGCTTTAAAGATATCCCCTTGCCAAAATCTGCAGTATTCTCACTAAAACGTCTTAAATTAGCATTTTAGCATAACATAACATTTAACTCGAATCATTGTGAACGACTATGTATTTGTGCCAATTGAATAGTGTTTCTATTGTAGCGATGCTAAGCTTCACTAATTGCATTGAAACTAAGTTGCAGACTGTATAGACAATATCCACCTGCCAGCACTTCTCAAGCATTCATATTTGTCTTCATAAATGCTTAATTGAGGCTTTATGTGGTTGTTGGCTACTGTATTTTCTATTGTGATTATACTGCTCAACAAATGTGTCCATTTTTTAAAAATCAGGGATGCAAGCTTTTCTGTATGATTATTTTTTGCACTGATTCCGAAACTACCCTCACTTTTTCTGCAGCACGTCAGTTTTTCCGAACAGTAATAATATAATTATATGAATATATTTAAATATATATCATACATATTTCATAATATTTATGAATTAGGGGTTAGGTTCAGCAACAGGTGGAATTTTGTTCTGGAATGTCATAGCTATAAATTACACATGGTAAAATCCTTATGAAAATATTGCAAAAACCTGTTGTGTTTTTGAAAATCTTAAATATGTGATTGAAATATGCTCTCACACCACTCTTATTAGTCTACAAGTGATTCACTTTTGTGTAGCAAGAGTGTTATTTCTCCTTTCACAATAAGCATTCAGGCACTTTATTTACATTCACATGTGGCACTTTTCCACAAAAACAAATCCAAAACATATCAAATGAGTCCTCTAATGCATGTGTGAACAGAATTCAGTTTAATTCTCTTGTCAATTATCACATTGTTGATTCTCTCTGTGGAAATCTAATAATCTTCCAGACTCGGATCTGTGCTTCTTCAAACCACATTGAGGATTTTTAACATTCTTTTTCCTCCCAAGCTTTTTTCCCCCCACTAATCCACAGCACTAACTTTATTATCTCGTGTGTGTGTGTGTGTGTGTGTGTGTGTGTGTGTGTGTGTGTGTGTGTGTGTGTGCTACTCAGCCGAGGAGTGCACTGACAGTCTTTCGCACTGACCTCCCTCCACCCCCTCCCCTTTGTGCTCGTGCTCAGTGGAGGCCACCGACTGTACATCCGCTCCTCTCTCGAGCGGCGCGGATCTCGACCGCGCGCAACTA